TCTTTAAGGTTTCCCTAATATGGGACACAACATTGTCATTGTAAAACTCACCAGAATGGCTTGCAACAGCTGTCAGGGTGATGTTCATCCATAAAGGTTTGCTACCTTTGTCCACATTGTACAAATGTCCTTAATCGTTGAAGAAGACAATTTCCTCCATTTCTCTTTCCCCCTCCTCTGAAGTAATTTCCTCAGATGTGGTCTGTTGCTGTTGCAGATGAAGCTCTTGCAGCTCATCAGTGGTTAGCTCTTCATTGTCATCCTCCTCCAACTCTTCCATATCCTCGCCACTAACCTCCAACCCCATGGACTTCCCCAATGCCACAATAGATTCCACAACTAGCATAGGCTCCTCAGGGTTAGCCCCAAACCCTTCAAAATCCCTCTCTTGTACACATTCTGGCCACAATTTTCTCCAAGCAGAGTTCAAAGTCCTGCAAGTCACTCCCTCCCAAGCCTTACCTATAAGGTTTCTGCAACTGAGGATACTGAAGTGATCTTTCCAGAACTCTCTTAGGGTCAGTTCAGTGTCCGAGGTCACTTCAAAGCACTTTTGAAACACTGCTTTGGTGTACAGTTTTTTTAAATTTGAAATATCCTGCTGGTCTGTGGGCTAGAGGAGAGGAGTGGTGTTAGGAGGCAAAAATTTTGATAAAACTAAATTCCCCACCAATTCACCCTTCCAAGTTTGGAGAATGAGCAGGAGCATTGTCTAATACCAGGAGGCACTTGAGTTCCAATTTATTTTCCAGGAGGCATTTTTTTCACACTGGGGATAAACACGTCATGGAACCACTCAAGGAAAATGTCCCTAGTGACCCATGCCTTACTGTTTGCCCTCCACATCACACACAGTTTAGGCTTGACGACACTGTTTTTCTTGAACACTCTGGGAGCTTCAGAGTAATACACGGGTAAAGGCTTCACTTTGCAATCCCCACTAGCATTACTACAAAACATGAGAGTTAGCCTGTCTTTCATAGGCTTGTGTCCTGGAAGTGCCTTTTCCTCCTGAGTAATGTAGGTCCTGTTTGGCATTTTCTTCCAAAACAGGCCTGTTTCATCACAGTTGAACACTTGTTAGGGTTTTAATTGTTCAGCCTCTATGTACCCCTTAAAGTACTGCACATATTTTTCAGCTGCTTTTATGTCAGAACTGGCAGCCTCACCATGCCTTATCACACTGTGTATGCCACTGTGATTCTTAAATTTCTCAAACCAACCTTTGCTGGCCTTAAATTCACCAATATCAGCACTAGTTCCAGGCATTTTCTTAATTAGATCATCATGTAACTGCCTGATAATTGTTTCTCATTGATCCACACCAACAACACTCTCCACATCTATGAGTATTTGTGATCTCTGTTTTGTAAGCATATTTGCACCTTTCACAACAATAGCTTCCTTTATTGCTTTTTTGTTGGCCAAGATAATAGCAATGGTTGTATGGGGTTTGTTATGCAACCTGGCCAGCTTGGAGACACACACTCCACATTCATATTTTGCGATCTCTTTCTTAAATTCAATAGTATTTCTCACCCTCTTTACCACAGGGCTGGCACTAGAAGCTTTCTTTGGGCCCATGGTGGCTTATTTAGCAGTTACAAGTACTAAAAACAATGGAGTAATACAAAATGTATGGCATGTACGCGTGGAATCATCCTCACTGGCTTGTAAACAGTGGTGCACTGGCTGTACATGGAGTGGCCGGACTGCTCACGGCATGGGAACACATTCAAGACGAATGACTTTAACTGAGTTCTTTGTCGTTAATTTTTTTATTATTATCACACTGGCCGATTCCCACCAAGGCAGGGTGGCCCGAAAAAGAAAAACTTTCACCATCATTCACTCCATCACTGTCTTGCCAGAAGGGTGCTTTACACTACAGTTTTTAAACTGCAACATTAAACGCAAAAACGTGTCGTTATCCAATGACGCCGTTAACTGAGGGTCTACTGTAGGTGCAAAGGACAGTGCTGAGAAGAAAAAAGAAAATAATTTCCATGGAATTAAAGCATGAAATCATAGATAAACAAGTGAGGTGTCCAGATTTTGGGTTGAGGGGGAAGCGGGGGGGAAGCTGGCTCGTAACTCAGAACAAAAAGTCGACCCAGGGACAACTCATATCTCAAAAAACTTGTACATTCGGACACTCGTAAGTCAAGGTTCCACTGTATATTTAGTTGATTTTTTATCTTGCTAAACTTGCAGTTTCAGCAACCTTTCTGCAGAATGTCCTGCAAAATGCACCTGAAAGATGATGCTAATTTGGCTTAAAGTTCTTGATACATAATTTTTTGGTCTGATCCAGAATCTCATTTCCTACATGACTATGGAAACCCTTAGTTATCAGATCCTTAAATCTGAAGTCAGTGCCTTGTGAAACAGTGGTGCAGAAATGTTCCAGGTGAGTGCCATGTAATGCTGTGGTACCAATATTCCAAGGTCAGTACCATGTAAAACAGCAATATAAAATATCCCTGGTCAGTAAGTTGTGTAGCAGTAATACAGATGTACCAGGTCAGTACTAAGAGAAATAGTGATACTAAATGTCCCAGATATGCAGGTGATCTAAACATCACATTATGAATTACAGCCTCTCATTACTTAACGATGGAGTTCCTTTCCTAAGACCAAGCCGGTAAACAAATTTGTCGCTAAACAAGGGGCGTACTATAATGCTAGTGGGATTGTGTCAACCATCTTTGATATGGTGTTAATATCACCTTTGCACCATTTATAACAGTTTTAGAATATTTTTAAATGTTTATACAGTAGTGTACTGTTTATTGTAATAAACAGAATTGAGGAAATTGGCTTTAATATACAGTGGAACCCCGGTTTTCGTCCAGTCCGGATATCATACAATTCGGATTTCGACCACTTTTTTCGGCAAATTTTTACCTCGGGTTTCATACATCTGCTCAGAAATCGTCCATATCAGATGCGTCCACCCGCCCGGGATGCCGCCGCTCACATGTACCTGACTCAGTTTGCCTCTTGTCTCTCATTCAGCGAACAATACTCCACACATTCATCCATTGTTTTTGGTGCTTGTTTATTGAGTGCGACTACGAAATAAGCCACCATGGGGCCAAAGAAAGTTCGTAGTGTCAGCCCTTTGGTAAAGAAGATGAGAAACACAATAGAATTCAAGAAAGAGCTTGTATCAAAATACCCAAAGTGGTGTATGTGTGGCCGAGCTCTCCAGAAACAGAGCTCTGGACAGGTATTTTGTGCGACAGGGGTACAGTGACTCTCAGGCTGGTCCTAGTGGCATTAAAGAACAAAGAAGGGAAGTAACCCCAGAGAGGGCTTTGATACCTGAAGTCCTTATGGAGGGGGATTCCTCTTCCAAACAATAAACTTTCCTCCCTCTCTGCCATTGTGCATAGGCTTGCTGTGCACGGGAAAAAGAAGTCTGTAGTCGAGAGATGGACTTGTACATCAAAGAAAGAAAGCAAAGAGTTAGATTCAGATTTAGCTCCAAATTTGATGGAAGAAGCAAGATTGTTAAGAGCATTGAGAATTGGTTAGAAGAGACTAGAGTCATGGGGCCAGAGAGCAAAGATATATACATAGCGGAGCCAGGGGTGAGAGCGCAGCCTTCCTTTCCTTGATATACAGGTCCATCGCTTGGCTACAGGTTATTCTTTTTCCTTATATCGCAAACCTTGTTCTACATACCAACAAGAATCTTCAATAAAAGTATGTAATAGTGATTTAAATGTTCATTTATCCATTAAAATTAGTCATTTATATATATTTATCATTGTTTTCTGTGTGTAAAACTATAGTTATTCTCTATAAATTTTTTTTTTTTTTTTAATATTTTTGGGTGTCTGGAACGGATTAATTGGATTTACATTATTTCTTATGGGAAATATTACTTCAGTTTTCATCCATTTCGGATTTTGACTGACCTGAAATGGATTAAGGATGAAAACCAGGGTTCCACTGTACATTACAGCCTCTTCTCACTTAACGACAGATCCGTTCCTAACACCATGTCGGTAAATGAATTTGTTGCTAAGCAAGGAGCACATTATAATGGCAGTGGGTTAGTGTCAACCCTCTTTGATATTGTTTTAATGTCACCTTCGCACCATTTATAACATTTTTAGTATATTTTTAAATGTTTATGCAGTACAGCCTCTCCTCACTTAATGACGGAGTTCCGTTCCTAAGACCACATCGTTAAATGAATTCGTTGCTAAGTGAGGAGAATACTGTAATGGTAGTTTGTGTCAACCATCTTTGATATTGTTTTAATGTCACATTTGCACCATTTAAACATTTCTGGTATATTTTTAAATGTTTATACAGTAGTGTACTGTAGTACAGTGGAACCTCGGTTTTCGTATGCCCTAGTTGGAGACAATTCTGGGAGAAAATTCACTATAAAATGTATTTTTTTTTTTAATATTTTTGGGTGTCTGGAACGGAGCCAATTAATCCGTTCCAGACACCCAAAAATATTAAAAAAAAAAAAAAAAACATTTTATAGGGAATTTTCTCCAAGAATTGTCTCCAACTAGGACATACAAAAACAGGTTCCACTGTATATTGAAGTAAACAGAATAGAGGAAATCAGCTCTACTATACATTATTTAGGTATGAATACTGGTCATAGAACCCGTCATAAGTCCGAGGCATTGGTAAACGTGTACGTCGCTAAGCGAGGAGAGGCTGTAGTGTACTGTATATTGTAATAAACAGAATACAGGAAATCAGGTCTAATATACATTATTTAGATATGCATACTGGTCAGAGAGCCCCTTTTAAGTCCGAGTCGTTGGTAAACGAGTATGTCGCTAAATGAGAAGAGGCTGTACAAAGTTTGAGTGTATATGTAGGGCTGGAGTGTAAATTGCTGTAGTGTCAACATTTACAAGCTGCTATAAAGTGATGTATGAAGGCTTTTTAATTTAATCGTGAACAGATAAAACAGTAATACTTTGTTAGAATTTTCATTTATCCTCAAATTTATTTTGCAGATTTGCAGTTTATTAAGAGGAGGCATAGCGGAACGTGGGGGTGTTAGAGTTGGTCATCGCATTATTGATATTAATAGTCAATCTGTGGTTGCTGTTCCACATGAGAAGATAGTGAATCTTTTAGCTACTTCTGTTGGTGAGGTAAGTTTCTGGCATTATACAATAAATTTCTTGCCTTCCAGGGCCTCTCATTACAACCTGTGTACTAGAGTAAATACTTTTGCACTTTTGTTTCAGTTACATGTGTGATTTATTACCAAATTAGTCTTATTTTTGTTATTTTTTTGGTTTATTTAGTAATTTCAGCATACATACAGAGGTACAAAAAAATACAGGTAAGAGCAGCATGCCAAAGCCACTTGTATGCATAGCATTACGGGCTGGCTTAAAATTAGCTTAAGATTAACTAAGCATTGATGTAATCAGTGATAAAACATTATTGTAAACAGATAACAATAAAGCACAAATGAATATTACAAAGACAGGTCATATGGTTGCATGCACTGCTGTACATTCAGTCGAATGGAGTATTCTTTTAGGTAGTGTATTTAAAAAATAACAAAGTGAGATTGGGTCTTAAGTTTAACATTTATGTGATATAATTGTGAGAAACATTTAAGATATACAATTTATAAGGTTCGGTTATTCAGTATTTATTTGGTTTTGGGTGAGTAAGTGATCTTTGAGAAGAGACTTGAATTTATTAACAGGTAGTGTTTCTTTTATATTTTCAGGTAATGAATTCCAGATTTTAGGGCCTTTTATGTGAATTGAGTTTTTGCATAGCGTGAGATGGACACGAGGAACATCAAAGAGTGATCTGTGCCTTGTGTTATGGTCATGTGTTCTGTTGAGGTTGGCAAGGAGATGTTTGAGGGGAGGGTTAATATCAGAGTTAAGTGTTCTATGTATGTAATAGGTATGGATGTTTTGTATGGTGAGTAGGTTTAGTGTTTTGAATATTGGTGGAGTGTGCTGCCTGTAGTGGGAATTTGTTATCATTCTGACTGCAGCCTTTTGTTGGGTAATTAGTGGTCTGAGATGGTTAATTATTGTTGAGCCCCATGCACAAATTCCATAGGTGAGATAGGGGTAAATAAGAGAGTGATATAGGGCGAGGAGGGCTGACTGTGGAACATAGTACTGTATCTTCGATAGTATGCATACTGTCTTGGAAATTTGAACCTTACTTTTATTTGGTTTTGCTACCACACCATTATTATCATTATAATCATAATCAAAGCACTAAAATTTTGCTACCACACCATTTGTCTCCCATCAAGTTAAGATGCCCCCCCCCCCCCAAAAAAAAAAAAAAAATCATTCATTCAATAGCTGTCTTGCCAAAAGTGTACAGACATTATAATTCGAATAACCCTTTGAAATGCAGCATTCCTGCCCCTTCGTCAGAGTGCAGGCACTGTACTTCCCACCTCCAGAGCTCGAGTCAGGTTAACCAATTTCTTTGAATCCCTCCATCATTGTTGTAAATACATACAGTAGGGCCCCACTTATACTGCAGGTTAGGTTCCAGGCTACCGCCATAAAGTGGAACACCTTTTTTTTCCCTTATAAATGCATACAAATACTACTAGATAACAAGTTTACACTAACATATATTAAGCTAACAATAGAACTAGGCATCAAAAAACAATAAAAAAGTAAAATACACACATAGTGCACTCATTACTTACCTTAAAATATTTGTAGTCTTAATCTAGGGTGAGACAAGTAGTATTTATTGTAAGAAATCAAGTGCGGTATGTATGGTAGTCAGTCGGGCTACCATACCAGGCCAACCCACCTACACATAATATTCTATTACATTTAAGCATCCCAGAGCGATAAAATGCATATACAGTTCACTCATTACTTACCTTAAAATATTTGTAGTCTTAATCTAGGGTGAGATGAGTAGAAATCAAGTGTGGTATGTATGGTAGCCAGCCAAGCCACCCCACCTACACATATTATTCTATGATATTTAGGCATCACAGAGCGATAAAATGCATATACAATTCACTCATTACTTCCTTAAAATATTTGTAGTCTTAATGTAGGGTCAGGGGTGAGTAAACGAGATAAAACGAATAAATCAGAGAGAGAGAGAGAATGAGTACATGAGGGAGGACAGGCACAGAGTTATGTAAACAAACCAGGCAAACGTAAGTTTTGTAAACAAACAAAGTGTACATGTCTGGATTGTGTACAAGTTACATTGTGTACAAGTTGTCTCTACACTGATACAGTAGAATAAATAAAGAACACTCCCATTCTCATGTAACACCATTTTTAGAAGAAATGACGCTCTGAGTGAAGGCAATGGAAATAAGTCACTGTCTGACTATTTTGGGTTATCCTAGGTTCTCTACACATATGCTGTTATGTATGATAATCTATGTAACTATTTGTGTATATCTGAATAAACTTACATACATACATACGAAAGGAATAATTTTCTACAGTTACCCCCAGTAACACATTTTCTCTGATGTTTGACTAGAGAAAATGTTATTCTTGCCATCACTCGTAAAAGTCTGGCTCCCACATCTCATATTTATATTTATCTATTCTATTGTGGGGTGTATTTATCATCTTTATATGTTATGTATTGTGTTTATTATATAATTTTGAAAAAAAATATCATGGATGAATTATTGAAAAAGCGTATATTAACGTAATATATGACATTTAACCCTTTGAGGGTTTTCGTCGTACTAGTACGTCTTACGCGTAGGGGTTTTTGACGTACTAGTACTCATAAATTCTAGCGGCCTCAAATCTAGTGGGAGAAAGCTGGTAGGCCTTCATATGAAAGAATGGGTCTATGTGGTCAGTGTGCACAGTCTAAAAAAAATCCTGCAGCACACAGTGCATAATGAGAAAAAAAAAACTTTGACCATTTTTTTTTAATAAATCAGCGACTTTGCAGTGTATTTTCGTATGGTATTTATTGTTGTATTCTAGTTTTCTTGGTCTCATTTTATAGAATGGAAGACATATTACAGAAATAGAGATGATTTTGACTGTTTTACAAAGAAAGGTGCCTTGAAATTGAGCTCAAAGTAGCAGAAATGTTCGATTTTTACCAAACTTCAAAAGTAAACAAATCGTGCCAAGCGTGCAATACACGTCAACTGGTGATCTAATATTCTTTCACAAAAAGCACCAATAATATTTATACCATTTTTTAACACTAATGCAGTAGTCCTGCATAACATAAAAACTTATATTTTTTGTGAAAATAAAAAATTTAAAGTGGAAACAAAAGAAATAAGAGGGGCCTTGAGACGTGAATAATGACTAGAGGAAATGTCATTTTTGTGCCAGGAATGTCTTTCTTTTTATTCTGGACCCTATTCCGAAATTGGGGATCTTTTGAAATTTGTGTGAAATTGGCAAAATTGCTAAATTCTGACCACTGTACTGGATAGTTGAATTTCATAAATGAGTGGTTTCTTGCACCCATTCGATAGAAAAAATGGAGTTCTAGCGAAATATTCATGTTTTTTGTCGACTAGTACAGTGAAATTAGCCGAAAATGGGGCTCAAAGTGGGCAAAATCGCCGATGCATAAACATCGCCGAGACCGCTAACTTTGCGAGAGCATAATTCCGTAAGTTTTTTATCAAATTTCAAACTTTTGGTGTCTTTATGATCGGGAAAAGATTCTCTATCTTTTCATAAGAAAAAATAATTTTTTTTTTTTTTTAAATTTGGCCGACCCTGAGAACGAGTTTCGGAGAGGGCCTGTCGACCCTCAAAGGGTTAATGAGACTCAGTGATTATTATTATTATTATTTCTAATATGGCGTCACTTGTGCAAGTCGTCTGCTACCACATCTCACATTTATGTTTATTTATTCTACTGTGGGGTGTATTTATCGTCTTTATGTTATGCATCGTGTTTATTATATAATTTTGAAAAAATATCATAGATGGATTAATGAAAATATGTACATTAACGTAATATACGACATTTAATGAGACTCGGTGATTATTATTATCATTACTAATATGACGTCTCAAGACATAAGACACTCTTACTGATTTTAATGTGTACCTGCATGCCAGCACAGTATGTAAGTTTATTTAGGTATAGGTATACATAAGTATAATTATCAGAGTATACAGTGGACCCCCGCTTAACGATCACCTCCAAATGCGACCAATTATGTAAGTGTATTTATGTAAGTGCGTTTGTACGTGTATGTTTGGGGGTCTGAAATGGACTAATCTACTTCACAATATTCCTTATGGGAAAAAATTCGGTCACTACTGGCACCTGAACATACTACTGGAATGAAAAAAGTTCGTTAACCGGGGGTCCACTGTATATAAAATATGAAATAACTTTTAAAAACACTTGAAATTTTGGAGTTTCCAGACATAATGGAGAGACTTAGTGCTTATGGATCTCACATAGAATGTAAACAAACTGGGTGGGGCGCGGTGACCGTATTAGAAAGTCAGGTGGGGGAGCCGTATAGAGAGTTTTGGTCATAATTTGAAATGACTGTATTAGCAGAACGCCGTAAAGCGGGGCCCTACTGTATTTGTAATTCCCTATTTCAGTTTCCAGGGAAGATTGATGTAGAATAATCCTGTCATATACTTCTAAACCCATATGGAGTTGAGTCCACTGTGTCATCATTCAATTCTGAAATCCCTGTTGTTCATCTGGGTGTATAATTTTCCATCGTGCAGTCTTGTTACTTCTTTTTAACCCCTTGACTGTCACAACCCCCAATCCTGAAGTGTCGCAAAATTTAAAAAAAAAAAAATTATGTTTCTCTTATGAAATGATAGAGAATCTTTTCTAGATTGTAATGACACCAAAAAAACGAAATTTAATGGAAATCTCGATGGAATTACGCTCTCGCGAAGTTAGCGACCTCGGCGATTTCGCCCACTTTGAGCCCTATTTTCAGCTAATTCCATTGTTCAGTCGACCAAACTCAGCTATTTCTTTAGAACTCCATTTTTCTATCGATTGAGTACAAGAAACTGCCCATTTACTGATTTCAACTGCCCAATAACGTGGTCAGAAATTTGCAATTTGGCCAATTTCACGAAAATTAAAAAATATGACAATTTCAAAATAAGGTCCAGAATGAACAATGCAGACATTCCTGGCTCTA